AAAAATAAAGAGATTTTTGAAACCGAAAAAGTGTCTTTCTTTTATTGACTTTCAATTGGCAACATATAAATAATGATATTAAATTGTCTTAAAACTAAAGAACCTTACGTTGGGCCTAAAAGTGACTGTCAGATTAGTCCTATATTTTTGCAGTTTTGGTGGGTTTTGTCCTATATTTTCAGGTTGTTGAGTCCTATATTCCTATATTTTTGGACCCCTAAAGTGCTTGACACCCTGTAAATATAAAGTTTAGTCTCATTTCCGTTGTATTCATAATTAATCTAATTATTTTTTATGTAGTTTCTACAGGGATGATTTAAGCTTTTGTCCTGAAGGGTCCTCATCTATCTCAAAGGTTTCATAAGCAGGAGTGAAAATATGTCCTTTATTATCATCTGTTCTCTTAATTCAAAGGTTAAATTTCAAGGTGTTACAGGAGAAGTGCAGTTCGACCAGGTTACTGGTGAACGGAGACTGCATAACGGTCTTGACATTCTGAATATTGCTGAAGATGAAGTAAAAAAGGTATGCCATGAATAATCGAGACCTACAACAAGTTCCCACAACACCAAGAAACACGCACTGCTCTGTTATTTTTGCTTTATGCTTTTCTCGGTTATTTTTTAAGTCATTCTTGCAATGCTATTGCTAAGTCTTATTTATCTATCTGTTTATTAATTTGTTTGTATTAGTGTTTTTTCTTTTGGCATGCATGTAGATACTATCTTGCAACAGACCTTTTGAACCTTTCGAACGATCTTTTAGATTTTGGAGTCCCGGTATGTTCTGTTTTCTCGCACTGTTCTAATCCTGAAGTTGCCTCGTTATTACATTGGCTACTGTGGGATCCCCGATTACAAAATACTCTAATTTTCCAAACGAAAAAGGTAGCTGCATTTATCCTCGCCTATTTTGTTTGGTTGGCTGTTGTTCTTTTCACTTTTAGTCAAATACTCTCTTTTGCAGATGCAAATTATCTCATCACGATTTTTTCACCCAAATTGTAAGTCAATTGTCAGGGTTTAAGTTAAATTATTACGATTAGTTTGATAATTTTCTTGGTATTATTTTGCAGGTCGGCTCTTGGCGACCTGAACCGGGAATAAGACATTACCATGTTTCGTTAAATGAAAACGAAAAGGTTCGTTGGGTGGGAGACTTTGCTGAAATTATAAAATGCCATAATCCAGGTGCAACTGGGCCCCATGAGACGGAACCTCTTCCTCGGTTAAAGGTCACCACTTTTTTGGTAAGGACACGTGTTCACACATTGTTAGCCTTGTTAGAGAACACGTGGTATCGAACGATTTTTTGTGTTTTCGTATAAAGGCTACTGGCCATTCTTCTCAGATGTCTAAACCTAGTAACTTTTTGTCTTATTAGATCGAAGAAATGAGTGTTTTCCATTATATTGATCTCACTAGTCGCAAACTAACGGAACTTAAGCCGAGGAAAAATGGGACTACAACTGTCGATCAAAAGAAAATCCAGCCCGACCGAATTGTTTCATTTACATTTCGACCGAAAGTTTGATAATTTTTTCATTAAATTGGGACTGGGAAGGAAAATTTTTGAAAGAGGAACGGCAAGTTTTGGTCGAAACGGACTGTCCGCTCAAAGAGCCCACTAGCTCTGGAGGGGGACCAATGAAATGTGCAACCGAACTTTTACGGAATGCTTGGCATGAAAGAAAGCACTCATTCTAACACTAGGCTATAATTGTTATAAAGCATGCAATGCCTCAAGCACCAAGAAACTTAATGGTACTTCTTATAATTCTTATTTTGCTGTTCTTTCAGGAGGAACCCTTTGTTGAAAAAGTGAACGAATCCGTGAGACTTCCAAAAGTTGGTAAAAAAGTTCCTAAAACGCTTCTTCAGGGGTTTTGCATAGACTTAATAGAAGAATTATTAAAACTTGCGAAGTTCGAATACGATATTTACTTGGATAAAAACTACGATGGATTGGTGGAAGAGTTGACACAACAGGTAGTGTATGTTTCGAGGTGAAATTGTTGTTTCCAGTTTTACACTGATAAACCAAAGAAGCAATATAGATGAATGGCACTTTTATGTTTGTCTATCCGTGCTTCCTTTTTTATTTGCCGTGTCATTTATACCTTCTTCTAACTTTTTGAGCTGTTATTTAACGTTTCACTCAATTTGTTGACAGTTTCCTCTTTATGAATTTTCATACATTTCGTGACACAGCTCCTTTAGAATAAAAAGGTTTCTCTAAAAGATGTAACACTTTTCTCTTGCAGAAGAAAGATATTGCGCTTGGTCCCATCACGATAACTGCTGAGCGCGAGATGCGTATCGACTTTAGCAAACCATTCATGGACTTCAGCATAAGCCTTATTATGCAGAAACCGGGAGAGCCTGCAATTGACATCTTTGCCTTCCTCATGCCTTTCACGGGTGTTGTGTGGCTCTCTATAGTTGGAGTGGTGACGTTTTCTTCTGTCTTCTTTTTATACTTTAATACATTACACATATAATTCAAAGGATCAAATAAGTTCCCGTATGCTTCCCTTCTGCCTTATGCTTCTTTTAGCTTACGTTTATTAATAACCGTTTTTCTTATGGAGGCCTTTAGCGAGGCAAATTCGCTAGAGACGCAAACACCATTAACATTTGTACAAGCTAAGAAGACTGTTTTATGACGTCCCCGCAGAAAAATTGCATTTACCACTTTGATGTTGAACTTAAATAACCTTGAATCGTCCGTTTGTGAGAACGCGTAGGGAAGACAGGAACAAATTGAAGTTCTAAATGGCTGACTAACTCTGCTCAGTGCTCGAAATAAACTTTTTGATGTACTGGTCCATTGTCCAGTTCATTCAGATTTTCACTGAACAAAATGCAATAGTACAGGAGTACTGTTGCTTTCTTATATGTATATTTTGTTTTTAGGTTTTGTAGGTCAATGTTTCAATTGGTCGCAGGATAATTACGTAAATGGAATAACCTAATAGACTAACAGCCCTTGTTTTAGGTACAAACAATTGTACTGTTACATCTATAAGTTCGGCAGCTAAAAAATATACAGTATCACGTGGCATGGCAGTGACTTTTAAAAAAATCCTATGGAAGATTAGGATAATAATATCGCGAAATCCAGTCGCACATAATCGCACTCCATCAATCCAAATAAGTTATCTGGTGTGTATAATTCCGTAGTTTTTTCCTTAGGTTCTTGGTATGACAGTAGTGATGTATGCAATGGACTATTTAAGCCCTTTTGGTTACCATGCTCGAGCCCAGGCAGCAAATAACGAACCTGGAAACGAATTTAACTTGTTAAACAGCCTTTGGTTTGCCACAGCTTCGATTCTGCAGCAGGGTCCGGACAACACTCCACTGGCTCCTTCTGGTCGCCTTTTAGCCTCTGCGTTCTGGTTTTTTACATTGATTCTGATATCTACTTACACGGCAAATCTTGCTGCTTTCTTTACAAGTATGTATTTCGAACATATACCTTGAGTTATGTGGATTTTAGAAAAGGAACGCTAAATACATTGATCGAAGTGAGATTGTTTAGCTTTTTTGTAGAATTATGTTTAATGCGATGTCGAGGTAGTTTCTATTCTCTTCCTTAGTTAAAAGAACCGTTGCTACGATAAACTCATTAGAAGAACTGGAAAATCAAACCGAAATTAAGTATGGAGTTCTTCGCGGGGGATCTCTGCAGAAATTCTTCCAGAATTCAGGCGACCAACTTTACCGACGAATGTTCTCCCACATGCGTGAATACGATACAGCTGTTAATTGTACCGCAGAGGGGGTCGAGAAAGCAAGAACTGAACAGTACGCATACCTAACGGAGCAGCCATTTCTCGAATACTACAACCACCAAAAGTGCAATACCAGGCTGTTAAACAACCTGCTGCAGTCCCAAGCATACGGAATTGGGTTGCAGAAAGACTCCGAGTACACTAACGAAATTTCTGTGGCAATCCTAAAAGTGAGTAGTCACGTTTACGGCGCTTATCTAAATGTTCCCTGGCCTACAAAGGGACAAAACGTAGTGAATCAGAGTATTCTGCAATCAAAATACATCTTGGGATGGTCACAGGTTGATCACTGTTCAAAAAAAGTTTACTCAAACGGACTTTTGTCTTATGCGGAGTCTTCCTCAATATTCGTGTAACATTATTGACGTGAGAACTGCATTTATATAATGTACAGACTCCAAGCAGTGAGTTGAAAAAGGAAGCAAGGACCAGTCTTGAATTGTCAATTAAGTAAAGATCATTGTAAAGTTCAATCTTTTTCAAGTCTATTACGAATAGAATTTTCAAAAATTGGGGTGTGTTGTCAAAGATCTTACAATTCTCCCTCTCAATAGCTTTTCTTTTTGAAATCTGAACAATGAGTGTAAAAGTTCTCAATCTTGAAATGTTAATAGTCAGCTGTAGTAAGGATCAAACTATAAAAATATGCAACAACCACGGTGGCAATTGCGACGCAGCGCAATCCGTCGCCTGTCCTCTGCAACGTCGCCTAATAAAGACCACCCAGTCAACCGTCGAAACGTCACTAGGGAGTTTAAGATATCACGGCATCGACGCCGACGAAAATGTCGCTTAAAAGTGAATTTGCGTCCTTATAATCACGTTGTGATTATTTCAACTCGCCTTCTTTGTCAAATGCAGGCGAACTCTTCTGGAGCGGAATCCCTAGCAACCATATCCAAGTTCAGAAAGAAATGAAAAAGAAAATTTCGTCGTCACTTGTCTACGTCCTCCTTAAAACGAGAAATGAGGCTTTTTCATGTCGTAGTTGTGCAGTGATGGCAAAAAATGTACAAAAAAAAAAGTGTTATGCAAGTGCAGAGTTGTTGTTTGCCCAAGCAATCTATTGCCTTTTTGACGTTCTTTTTGCTGTTGCTGTCGTCGCATCTTAAACTCCCTACTATATGTATATTTCGGTGCTTTTATCAGGAGACAGACCATAAAAAACTATAGAGTAACTGCTTATACTTGGTAACGTTGAGTGAGTGAGTGTCTGTGAAACAGCCACAGCATCTGCTGTCAGTAAATATTGTGAGCCAATGCACCTTCTTGTTCTTCTACAGTTGCGGGAAAGAAATTTTGTTGAGAGGATTCGTCATAAGTGGTGGGACGAGCGGAGCAAGTGTCCAAAGCCGAAGCAATCAAAAACTGGAAACACAAAACGTCTCGACCTGAATAACATGGCTGGAGTATTCTTGGTTTTGGTTGGTGGCGTTATCATTTCTCTGGTACTGGTGGTTTTTGAAATGAGGTGTAAAAAACTGGTCGAATACTTCACAAGCGGTCAGGTAATACTGCCAGGTAGTAGAAAAGTCAAGTGTTTGGTATGTATCTGCATTAATAAAGACATTTTATAACATAACAAAAGTAAATCGCGCGCTCTGATTGGTCAGTTAGCCACTGCCATTTGCCCGTGGGTGCACGCCAAGAAACTGAGCTAGCGCGGTAAAATTTAGGTAAATTCAACAAATCTCCTCTCCTGACGGTGAAGTACACCGATAAAATGCACAGATGAAAAGTGGAAGTTGAAGAAAATACTAAGCTGTCGTTTTGAAGGAAAGAAGACAAAAGATCAAGCGACAAATTTGCCCTGGATGAATTAATCACTGTTTTCCTCGCGCTAGAATCGGCTGAAGGAAAATCGAGCGAGCTAAGATTTAAGGTACATTTTGTGAGTTTTTTATAGAAGAGAAAGTCTGTTTGAATTGTAAATTTATCAATTAGCATTGTGTTATTGACTTTTTGGTCAAGCTGATGCTAAATTCAAGCAAATATTGTAGGAAACACGCTCAAATTCGAGACAGCTTTGTCGTGAAGTTTTCATCGCATCGGTTAAACATTTTATTTGAGTTTAAACGGGCACATTACGCTGGAATAAGCGAATTTCATTTGAGTACAGAAACATCTGGGTTTTCAAATAAATTTTTCAAAAAATAACTTCTGTTTGTATTATTTTGTTCCTCAGTGTTCTAGAACAGTCGTTCAGAGAACGGTTGAAAAACAACAGCTTCAGCACCGGCTGTGTGTCAGCGAATTTCAGTTGCAACTGTGACTTTCATTGCTGGATTTGCCTAGACACATTTCGATACAAAGCTAGTTATATTTAATTTCTTTTTTAAAATTAGTGTTACCTGTTATTCTAAAGGAATTACAGTTTACAAATGACAAATTTTCTCATTTCTACTTTACGTTTATTTAAAAACTTGTCACATAAATAAGCTGGACAGTTATTTCATTTATTTAGTTTTAGCTTATTTTTTAGGGTCTTTTTAGTTGGTGTTTATAGTTGCAGATATAGTTTTCCCTCAAAGTTTTTACCTTAATATTAAGAGCAAGAAGACAGATGCCATTCAGAATAACAACAAAAAACGTTTTGCAATTTACCTGAAGACGGAGAACGGTTGATTCAGCGAAAGAAAAACTCAAAGGCAAGTTTTTGAAAAACATAGAACATGGTTTGTTTACGCGCGAGCAGATAGCAGCATACGTGAAATCGGACCGATGACTCAACCGAAGGCAAATAGAAAATAATGTTTTTGTCTTTTGATTATGTTATAAAAGAAATGGTAAACGTTGCAGCAGTGCAACCATGGGGTTATGGATGCACTTGGGAGGTTTGCTAAGCACTCAAGAAGCTAGAGTCCATGGTTGCACGCTGCACGTTTACCATTTCTTAAATGTTGATCACTATTTCCTTGTTAATGTATTGGTTCATTTTTATCCAGAAAAGCAGTAAAGCTCGAAGCGGCAGGAGGAATTGCCAAGACAATTTTTGTGCCTCATGGAAATGTTTGCGGGAAAATAGGATTTTTATTTTTTCTCGTACTGCTTTTTGTTAGTTGATTAGGAGAGTAATTATTGGCTTGCCGTGTTGCAAAACTGCATCTCAGTATCATGCCTAGGGGTAAGACACTTGGTCAAATGTCACTCCCCCCCCGCTTTTGTGGTAGCGTCCATTCACTTCTGCTACTCTTCAAGACAACAGCGATTTTCAAGTATTATTTAACAGATTTTCTTGGGAAGCTAAGTAAAATGTGTAAAAAAACATGATACCGTGGCCAGCCATGCTGGTTTCTTTGTATCAGCTAGTGAGAAAGGTTCCTAGAAAAGACTACTATAAATGTCTTGCTCTTAATGGAGCTTTAAGCCGTACAGAGTATTTAGGTAGTCTCAATGTACATGCACCCAAAGAAGAATTTCTGAAAAGTAGTTTTCAAATCATATTCATTTCCTTTTAGGCCACAATAAAGCGACAATCACGCTGCGAGTCACACGAATACGAGCCGATTGACAGAACAGTAAGAGTGAAGGTGGTATTGGCACAAGGTGATAAGGTTCTAACACCCAAGGCCGATAAGAGACAGAAAAAGTCCACTTGGAATAACTTGCTGAACAAGTAATAAAGGTACAGAAAATTTCTGAAACGTTTTCTTTTGTAGCCTTCAAGACTGGTAATTTGTTATTTACTGTGGAAGAAAAAATTCAATTAGATTTGTCAACATTTTATCAAAGTGACAGCGCAGAAACAATTCACCAGGATGTTCCAGCCTAACCAGAGTTTCTCTCTGGTTAGGCTGGAAGGCTAGCGACGTTGCGGCATTTTAAGCACTTTCTGCAATAACCTACATGAGGGAAGTCTGCACGACAGCTAAGGTTCAACTAAGCGTCAATGCAGAATGCATAGAAACTACAAGTTAGAGTAATAACATTTCTCCAGGGCATTGCTGCTGTACCTTATTCTTCACCAGTGGGCATGTCCACGTTCTTTCTGGTTGCTGAACTCTGCATTGGAGCCAAGTGGCCCATCAGGTCAGAGCTTAACCCCGATTTCTGCAGAATGAAGTGACCAGGAATATTTCTTTTTTCCTCCTGGAAGGTATCTCAGTCGTCCATCACAGGGTTACACCCAGCATCTATAAGTTTGCTGGTAGTAATTTATACATCTAGATGGAGTGAAGCATTGTGGGAATAGAGTGTTTAGCCCAAAACACAACAAAATGACCACGACAGGGACTAAACTTGGACGTCTTGATACCGAGTCACAAGTACTAACCACTGAACAACCACACCTCCTTTCGAGGTCAGACTTGAGTCAAATGTTTGGAACCCAAGACAACCCAAATCTCCTCTACAGATATTGAGACGAAAGCTGGTACGTAGCTGGGTTTTCAGAATAATAGGCTGTCATTATTGTTATTAACCATTGGAACGTCACAAGCTTACGGCTCAGTCAACAAAATTTTTGCCTTTAATAGGTCCTTTGTAACATTCATGTAGAATATCAAACGCGGAAAAGATTGTGTTATCCTGAATGTCTAGATACCAAGAGCCCGGGGAGAGGGTACTCCCTCATATGGCCTACACGGGGATGTTGCCGCTTCGCGAAAACAACTGGACCAAAGTGAACAAGAAGAAAGGCCGCCGCCAGATTTTGTAAATCCATGGATACCTCTATTCGGAAAACGTCTCAAAAGGAAGTTCAATTAGAGACTCTTTCCCTGCTGCAGACGTTTATCAGAACCGAGTAAATCAAATCATTTAGAGATTACTGGGCGTTTCAGGAACTGGACGCCATGGCGGGATTGGCCCATCAGCGTGCTCTCATTAAGTCATATTTCTCTAATTTCATGTAACTAGAGAAATATGACTTGCGCGCACTATCTAACAGACATTGATCTGGAAGAGGTCGTTGATCCGTTTGCTAAGAAGCGCCCAACGTGGCACATTACTGAAAGATCATGATGATCAGCAGCAAACCTAGCGAATAATCATATTTATCACCTTCTTTCCACTTTTTCTTTTTAAATAGTGATATTGCCATGCCATTTTCAAGTATCAAAATACATATGTTAAGTAGTCACTTTGCTAGAGTATCAATTTTGAAGTTCAAACATTTTGCGAAATATCCGCGTTTCGCTTTTGGCTACCTGTTTTCGTATCATGCCGCCTTCAAAACGCTCGAAATGCCGTCTCAGACAACCTAAGTTGATTTGATTTAATTTTAATTTAAAGGCTTCATTTATGATACATTCGTGGCCCTCATTACACTATAAAAAGAATCTAAAAAGTAAAGTCAGTATATTATAATAATTCTAACACTATGTACATTAAACTAAAAATATCGATAGTTACATTAAAAATAAAAAAAATTTAAAATACATTCAAAAAACGGCCGAAATTTCCTGAAATAAAATCTCACTTTAAGAAAGCTTCACACCTAAACGAGAGGGAAAGCGCTCTGATTAGTTAAAAATGTCTTGTAACTGCGCTTGAAAGTGGAAATTGATGCTTTCTTCCTGATCCTGGATCAATAGCGTTCCATTCTGTAATTGTCCTAACCGTGGAGGTTTGCCCTCTCCCTGTTTTCCTTGTGGAATTCCTCCCCCCTATCTCTAGAGACTTGCGCCTTCGGTCTCGTTTGGGCCGTCTCCTTGTAGGATCGCACCTCCCCGTAAAATATCTTGGCTACGGGCCTGCTCTGTCCTATAAACAGGGTGTACAATTTCGTGCAATTTTGTCCCAAACAGTGTGCATGTCCTTTGTCCTAAATAGGGTAATAAATTCCAGGATTTTTCCCTCAACAGGGCGTGTATTTTAGACCAGTTTGTTTTTTGCCTAAATAGGGTCAGGTTTCAAACCCTCATGCAGCTGCCCACCTATACCAAAATATTGGTCGAATACCCCCACCCCCCCGGAGCAACTATTTAATATTTTGAAATTTGTCCTTTAATTTTTTTTCTTTAAATTTTGTTTTAAGGCACTTCTGTCTATCATATTTTTTTTAGTTATATGATAAGTGTATTCGCATTACTTCCTCTCCAATTGTTTCAAGTAACTGAATATTCTGATATTCTTTCTGCAGGACGAAGCTGGAAACCGTGACAATGATTACTGACTGCTACGGATACATCTGAGAATGTAAACCCTCATTATCTACTAAATACTAAATGTTAATGTCAGCAACTACGCTCCTGTCTCCCATAAACAAGTTGAAAAGACTTCGCTGTGCCTGAACTGCTCGTTTGACTATTATTAAGCTTTAACTGTTTTGAATTTTATTAAATATATTCAGGGCCAAAGCCAGTATGAGGAAAACCTAGGCACTTGCGTCAGTATTTTTTTTTTTCGGGGAAAGTAAGATTTTTTTGGAAGGAGAAAGAAACTTAAGACACTAAGAGCAAATAAATTCACAGACAGTTAAATAAATAAAAGAGTTTTAACGCAACATGGTATTGTGTTTAATGATAATGCGAATCAGGCAGTGGCCTGAATTACAGATGAGAAAAATTAAGCAAAAATTCATCTTAACTAGGCAGCGGCTTCCCAAAGAAAACTGCCTCGTTTTCTTGCGTTTTGCCGCCATTTCTCGAGTCTTCTGTCTTCTTTGGCCTGTGTGTGGAAAATTTATCTAAATGCAGCGTTCCATCAACAGCTTTTTGCAAAGAAAGCGGTAAGTAGATGCTCTCATTACATGCTTTCTTATTTCTTCTTAATAATTGAACCAAAATTTAAGCTTGTTTTGACATTATTTAGCAAAGACCCTGAATAGCTAGGCGGGGAATTTAACCATGGATATTGCCTCAGTCCTTATTTTTTCCGGCTACGGCCCTGATATTCCATGGAGCTTTTTCGTGAGAGTCATTAATTACTTCTAGTAGCTTGGAAAGGGGACGTCTCCCTTCACATGCAGCTTAAAAGCGCAAGTGAGTCGGTATAAGCTTCAAATGGTGATTTAAGTTATCAATATAAAAACTATCAGAAATGCCTCCTCCTATATGACTTATCTCGAAGGAGACCAATGGATACTATATTTACTCAAAGTTCGTGGGCATATTAAACAAGCTATTGATGTTTTGCAATAACAGTAATTAAAGTGATATCAAAAGGAAATTTGATCAAGGGTAAGATTTTAGTTTTTAGTAGTTTCCAACACGGAAGCAACGTCTAAAGGTTCTATTCTGTATTCCCTACTCGCTAGTTAAATATGTCGAAAAGATTTCTCTTTCTCCCCTCACTACTAAAATGAATCCATCCCCCATTTTGATCACGGAATCATAGACTTAAAATGTCCTGGAAGCAATTTAGCAATCCACGGACACAAGTGGTAAAAATAATCAAAGGTTGACTACAGGCTTAGTCGTCTTGTGTAAAGAGGTCTTAATAAAAATTACCTTACCCCTCTCCTGTTAGATCATTCTGAGGTATATTTTCCTTACACCCTACTCCCCTAAGTGGGAACTTGTTATGCTACGGCGGCTTTTGAAGATTTGATTTTCGCGGTCGATGATTTGGCTACTCATCTGTAATCGAAACGATTTTTTCTCGAACAATAGAGAGACTTTACCTTAAACAATAAAAAAAGATAATAAGAGTAGTGAGAATCGCTGTCATTGTTCACCCAAATACGAATTGTTCCCGCGCCGAGAGTGATTCCTGCGAAACTGTACTTCGTAATACATTATTTGACGAGGTGATATAGTAATAACCACACCCCTACCTACTTACTTTTATGAAAAACATATTCGGTATTTCGCTAAAAGTAGATAACTGTATTAGTCAAGGTCCCCAACCAGAGCCAACAACTCATACCTTCGACTTTAAAAGTTAGTAAACGCAATACGACAGAGACTGATCAAATTGTACTTACTTTTTATAATTATCCCCAAATAAGGAAAAGTCGAAAAGAGTTTTCGCGCAATATCTTACAGTATTTGCGGGCGATGAAACGTACCTATGAGGTTTTGAGAAATGTGTGATATGGATTAATACAGGGTAACAAAGCTCGTTAATACTTAAAAGTTGAAAGCATGGCGCCAAAGAGGTCGGTCTAAGACTTCAGCGTCATTGTTTTTCGAATAAATATTGTGACTGTACGTTTTCCGGAATTGAAGACAATAGACTGAAATGGATTCCATACTGTAACCAATCAACGCTTGCTCGAAACTCCTTTCGCTTTCAGTTTTGCAGTGAAAATTGTAACGTTTTTTTTTTTCGAGCGAAATATGGCAAGGAATGAAGAAGCCTACGTAAAATGAAACACGTTTTGTTTTATCATCTGTGAGAGTGTTCTCGTAAAATAAGTGCGGGTCTTGCAAAGGGTCTTAGCCCATTTTTGAAGAACGACTACGGCGCAAGGTTCCTTCGTTTGCAAGCTCCTAGGCACGAACGAGCAAAATGGTCGAACACCGTCATCATATTGCTTACCTCCATTTCCTTTATAGGTGAAATTACCGTTTGGGTATTTATAAACACTACAATTGTAACTAATTATAGAAAGAACTCAATACACCGCTACGAAGACGCTTGAAAGGCTTTTTCCCGTTATCTCTGTTACTTACCAATGCGGGTACGTGCCAGAACGTTTACCACTTGCAAATCTGTCCTTTTAACTATCTCCCATGAATAAGTAAATATCTGATTCATTGTTTCCCGATATAGACTTTTAATGTGCCTTCCATGCATTAATTATGAAATCGTGAACAAGGAAGAAAGTATTAATGATTTAAGCAGATGATTCTTGAATGTCAATCAAGTGTGCATTCACGATTTTATTGAAACCGAAAGATTGTTCGATCAATCCGTTTGCTGGAATTACTCCTATTGAGTTGGACCTGTTAGAAAATCAGAGGCAACAATCTTCGACTTCAAATAAACCTCATCTTGCTGAGAAAAGGATATCCACAAGTTGTTCCCTTGCTGGAGATTTTTCGTGCCCGATGTTCACAAGATGTTTGAGAGAAAAGCTCTCATTGTCTTCATCGTCTTGGCGTTCAAGACCTCAATCACCGCAACAACAGACATCGAAATCGGTAAGTTTAACATGTTTATTAGAATGTAGCCCTTTCAGGTTGTAAGCAGTTATTTGTTATTTAGTTTTAACTGCATTGAAAGAATCCTAATAGTAATCATTCAGCACAATCTTAAAAAGCCGTACTTTCCGTTCAGTCGACTGTCGACCAGTGCAAGCTAATTCATCTTATTCTGTGGATAAAATCCTAGAAGATTCTGACTCGTAAACAAACTGAAGACCAGTGTTTTCCCTTGATCTTTACATTTATTTATAATTTTCTTTAACTGGATTATCTTTAACTTTTGATTCCTCGAATAAAACTCCAGAGAGTGAACATTCCCGTGTACTCTTTTCAAAAATTATCTTTTTATGGTTGTATTTTTTCTTCCGACCCGCCTGTGTCACTGACTGAAAAAGATATACCTTCTCTGGTCCTTTTTTTGAACCCTTTATAAATATTATTTCTTGATTATTTCTCTTCTTCTTGATCAGGTAAACACAACTAAAGGTAACCTTTGAGCTAGACATCACACTCGGTCATAAAAGTGCTTAATTTCGAAACTTCGCAACATTCGTATACGCTGTTACCCTAACCATGAAAACCACTAAAAACAAAACCTTGAACGAAGTCGAGCGAGAACAACAACCACTACTACAAAAATAGCTTTCTCTGGAAACAATTCTCTATCGTAAAATAAAATTGTATTAAACGCCAACAACTGAATTTAAATCTTAAATTGAGAATTAATTCCTTAAATTAGTTGTCTCGATGAAACTAGTGATTTTGCTAAATTTGCGCATCATCTGTGCACAGAGTCATCTGTTGTGGTTATGTGGTAAGTTGGCCATATGTGAAAAAAACACAAACTGTGGTGCTGATTTTGGTTTTGGTGTAAACATATATTTTTTCGTTTTTTCTTAATGAAATTTATTTCATTTCTCTGTTTTTTGGGGTGTAAGGTGTGAGTGTGGCGCACATTTGTTACCATCAGAGTGTTCTTCTGGCGTCTGCTTTTTTTTTTTAATGAAGTTGCAAATAACGATGCTTCCACGCATACCTTACGGAACAGAAAGGACACATTTTTAAAAAAACTAAAATAATTTCGTTATGTTTTCTTTTCGTTCAAATTCCAATGTTTTGCTTAATGAAAGTTTCATGAAATTAAACTAGCTCTGCTCAATTGGATGCTCCTAGAAAAATATGGATTTAAAATAAGATAAAAAATTATTCAATGTTTAGTTCATTACTTTGGGGGATGCTCAATAGAGCAAATCAACAGAACTTTCTCTTTGTTTCATAAATGACGATGTTCGAACTTCAAATGAAAAACGTATTGTCATGATGTCATGTCGTTCCGTATCGCGATAAATGTACTTCTGCGGTGTACTAGAGAGTCTGACACACGTTGACCTTCTTCCATCCCTCAGTGTATAAATGGGGCGAAAGACCTTACTTACATGAACATGTAAAAAATGACTTGAACTAGGTTCAGTGACCAGCAGGGCAAAGTGGGAAATTTCGAGGGCGCTCCTTCGCAAGTTCCCCTCGAGCGATCTATAATAAAGTAACCAAAAAAAATTAAACGGCGCCTGCCACGCAAGCGAGACAGTCTGCTGAAAGTAATTATAGTTTTGGTTCGAATACTCATTCTCTCAAAAAACCTCGTCAAGGACGTTACTATTTGGGGTTTTCCTGAATTGAGCACGATGACATCATTAACTGCGTAACCTGTGCCATCGGATACTTAACAAAGTTATTCCTCGAGCCCGAATGGGCTCTGAGTCAACAGCACATGAGGCCGCGAAGGCGAGACGAATAATTTTTTTTAGTAAAATCCAACTAGTTTGTCAAAAATATTGAGACAAAACAACTTTAGCTAGCAAAATGCGATTCAGCAGCCATTGTTTGAATTTCAAAGCCGGCGATTTTGTTACTAGTGGGCTACAACATATAGCCTAGTGGTAGCTCAACCAATCAGGACGCATTATTGATAATAGACCACTAGTTGGATTTTACTAAAATGTTAAAGAATCTCCATCTTAGGGTTACTTAACGCCATATGTGGGTTAATTTTATTGTTTGTCCTTTCCCCAGCTCCGAGAGGTTTTTCTCCGGGTACTCCAGTTTTTCCATCCCCTCAAAACCCAACACTTCGAATTTTCAATTCGATTTGGGACACATAGACACATTTAA